TTTTGAAATCTGACACTTCTGACCCCTCAAGTTAAATCCTATACGATTATCTATGGGTGCAGTCACGCGAACCGGTAACGGCATAATCAACGGTTAGGAAACTAACTATCGGTTCCGCGGCTTCAGATAAAGACTTCAAGGAGCCTTGTAATTAAGTATTAGGGATGTGAATGGCGTTTCGGTTCTGGTTTCGAGTATAGGAATAGTTGTGTGTCGGTTTCAGTTATGTATATTTTTTTTTTTTTGGGTAACCCTAACGGCAAAAAAATATATATTAGAAAGTTCGAATATATATAGAAAGTTCGAATTAGACAGTCTAGAAATATGAAACTTGAAAAATTGATTAGGAAATAGGATGACAATTAAAAACGAGTCAGCAAATCTTACTTATACTCCGTCAATGCTCAAAACATTAATTTGGGATTCTCGGTAACCAATTACAACGATTTTTTCACCTAGTGTCCAACACTTTTCGGTTACAGTTACGGATCTCCTTAACATCCCTGGCAATTATCAAATTATACTGATTACTTAACGGTGTTCCAACATGAGTGTCAGGAATGTATTTACACAAGTGGGTCGATTCGCGGGCTTTCTAAGCCTATTAGTCTGCCACCGACACAATGTAGCTTATTCTCATACATGTATAGGAAATCGGTTAGACTAAGTTGATGAAATTGTGCGGAAGACTCGTTGCTATGGAATGTTATTAGTTATAGTAACATTCTATAAGTCTTACTTGACTTAATGTCTCCTAGTTGGGGCCGATACTATGGTTCAGGTCTATAAAAGTAAGACGCTATGGTGCTGGTCTATAAAATCGATTTCGAGTTGAATTTAAAGGTACTATTTTTAGAAGAAAGAGAGATAGAGATTTCGCCATAAAGATTACAATTAAGTACGCGCAGTAGTCTGGTACGTCTAGTAGTCTAAATTAGGCCAATGAAAGTGGGAGAAAAGATCCACCATCAAAATAAAGTTTGGTTTCAAAAAATAGAAAGCACTATCCCGGTAAATCACATTCTAATACCAAAAAACAATATAAATCGTTGAATCATTTCACAAAACAGTCTTGTAACATGATTATATCGAGCTGTGTCACAATAAAATAAATTGTCTTATTAACTTTTACGACAGAATCAGATGGCATAGATCGGTAAAATTATTAGAAAATAATCGTAAAGAATCGTCGTTAATCATTACGTTACAAGCAGTAATCATTGTCTGATTCGCTTTCATTCGATTTAAAAGCTTGATCATCGAGTGACAATCGATGAGGCTAAAATTAAATATTGCCAAATCGATTCATTCACTTGGTTTTTGCTAAATTCCAAGTTTTTTGCACTGTGACTGTTGAATTGCCACATGCTACTATATTTGTATTAAGATTTCAGTAAGGTGACTGCCTCATTGGCCGAGTGGTCGTAAGTGCGACTGCCGGGCAAGGGGTCTCGGATTCGATTCCCGGGTCGGGCGAAGTATTACTGGGTTTGTAAATGTTCTCAGTAGTAGCACGGAGTCTGGAATTGTGCTCGGTATATGGCAATAGGCTCACCCCCTATTACATGGCACTCATAACGTAAATAGTGAAAAGTGGGTGTTACATTGTACCTACAGTGGTATAATGTGCACCTCTGCCTACCCGTTCGGGGATAAAAGGCGTAATGTTATGTTATGTTATTTCAGTAAGGTTCTAGTATAAAGGAACTAATTGGGTAAGACTATAAGAACTATCTTTAAGAAGTTTGAGACACAAAGAAACAGGTTCAGATTTATGTGAAGCATTTAGAACAAATAGGAAGCTTGCAATGCATTTACAAAAACAAGAACGTTTTCAGACTCCACACTGCTGCCGATTATATCGAAAACATAGCTATGTTTCCAATTATACCTTGCCCAACTTATCTCTGAATCATACAACCACTTACATACCTACAATGACATTTCCATACGATTAACCCAGTCACCAAAAATATTTGCGCGTAAAATCGTATGCATTTCTCCTTCAATAAGCACATCCTCTAGAATTCAAAACAGCTTACAGAATGTGAGAGCTGCATACATTAGAACTCAGTGGTTGAGATTTATACCCACTGCAATAACTACTACCGATACAATCCAGGACAAATCCGGGGAAACTCGAACGGTCATCGACCCTGACCTCCTGGCAAACGAGCAAGCTTACATACATAAAAGCAGATATTTTTATTCAAAAAACTTTCGCTTTATCCGCTTATCAGGTTTGCTAATATTTTTGTAAAATGTTGTCTCAGACATAACTGTCTATATTTTGATGTTGATCTTCTATCTTATGGACTTTACTTTTACAAGATCTTAGGTTAGATAATCTGAACTTTTACAATTTAAATATAAAAATTGTAGAATTTACAGAATAAACCTGTGTCCCATACGTATGTCTATGTATTCGGAAAATGTATTTTAATAAGTACCTATACCTACCTATATTTCGCCAGCAGTTAGATACGTTATTTCAAACATTTTCCGGAATCCAATTTTTATTTGTACGATTAGTGCGGTGGCTGGGCAACCGGCTGCCATGCAACGTGTAGCGAAAAATAAATAGGAGAATAATCCCAATAATAAAATAGAATTACGATATCGAAATCAGAACCTATATTTGGACTACACCAATCAAGTAGACTGCGTAGGTTATGTACAATCACAAAATTTAATACGCACCCTATATAAACTATCAAGCAAATCGGATATGTAAAAATATTTATAAAAAAAATATTAAAACAAGAAACTTTCTTCTTGAATGTTACGGACATAAGCGAATTCCGTGTGAAAGTAAAAGTTGTGATCTATCGTTATTATTAAATACCTGACACCGTTTTGTATCTCGTAATGTGTCAATTAATAACAGATCTTTTATTTATGGATAGATAAAAGTCAGTCAAGTTTACATCCAGCATAAAATGAAAAGCTAAATATGAATATAGCGGCTATTGCCATTGAAGTCTTACAGAGCAGGTGTAGTGTGTAGATGATGTGCAGAGAACAAAAACAATACGATATTTCATCGATGTATCAATAAAAGAGAAGAGCATAAAAATTAGAATCAAGGGATATACAATATACATACATACATACATATCATAACGCCTTTTTATCCCCGTAGGAGTAGGCAGAGGTGCACATTTCGGCACTTAATGCCACTGTACAATGTAACACCCACTTTTCACTATTTATGTTATGAGTCCCATGTAATAGGGGGTGAGCCTATTGCCATATACCGGGCACATTTCCATACTCCGTGCTACTACGGAGATTTTTAAAAACCCAGTAATACTTTGTATACATACATATACATAATTATGTATTTTATATTAAAACTTTTGTGAAACATACTAAATTAATTATTATATTTTGAGCTAAAACATAATGATTAGCCGAAGACATAACAATTAAATTACATATGTATTCTTCAGAATATCATTTAATGGTTGCCTATTGCATCCTACTCTGATAAACGGGTCTAGCAACACTGCAACATAACTGCCTATAACTCACATACCATTCGAAGAAATAAACCATAGTAAGTAATAATTACATATTATCTTATTCACAATCACAGAATGAACTTCGTAACAAATAATTACATAGTTCACCAATTTCCTTCCTGAACACAATCGATCCATCACAAACTCGTTCACTTCCTACAGAACGTAACGTCACACTCGAGTGCATTACTCGATTCTAGATTGAACGATAAATCGATAATCGATACAATTATCTCACTTCTCGTGAGATTTACTACAGTACTAAATACTAGGGTATTTTACGTATAGTAATCTGTTAATGGATGTAAGAAAGTAGATATTGTAATTAAATTTCTTTGTACTGATGGCTATTTAGATTACCGAGTTAATAAGTATGTACCTATATTCAGACCACCACGGATGGGGCCCAATAGGGCTGATGCCGATTCGGAGCGGAGAACTTAACGGGTTACCGGGGCTCCGGCTTGAATTGCAGGAGCAGGAACGGGGTGGTTTTAATCAGTAAAAGTCTGATAGTACTTTCCGCCTCACCCAGGCGGGAGAAGCCATGCGATGATTTTCACCCCTTAAAAAAAGTATGTACCTACCTATATATATAGTTTTATTGTATTGAATTTATCTTAATTTATATTGTAAAACTTGATTGGAAGGATCTGTGTTGCATCCTTATCTTAGCATTTTAATTTTTTTATACTAAAGCGGTGGCAATAACAGCACACGCCCCACCTAATGGTAGGTAGTTACCGTGGCCTATGAAAGCTTGCAACACATTCATCTTGGATATTTTTCTTCTTATTTCAAAACATTTCTTTTTCGATTTTTATAAATTCAATTCTCCTAATTGCATGCACCAATGATAACATTAGACCTTAACCAATTATTTTATTCTTTGCCTCATAGCAAGTAAATTTCTTCAATAAGTAGATAAATATCGTATAATTTAAGCCAAGTCAAGTGCTTACCTAGTTTTCTATTCCACCTAATCAGCGTTAAACTATTTATGACTACGCAGGTAATGGACAGTAAATTAAACCTCATTACATTCAATACTCGTCACTTTATCATCAATAAATAAGCTCATAGAATAGGCTCTCCATACTCGGTCAGCTAAACTTAACATCTTAAAACATCTTGTTAACAAACGTAATAATTAAATAACTTTTATTGCAAGTAAAAGTTATTAGATTTATTGGAAACTCTCTTCTTAAGTTTCTAGTTTTAAGCCTCATAATATGATGTCTGTAATTTTATTCTAGAAAGCATTTAGACATGGATTTCTAAGAATGAAAGGCATGAATAATCTTCTCATGATAGGGACTAATATACGAAATTACCTTAAGTTAAACAGATTTACAAATATTGTATGCATTTTGATGCAAAAATTTCAATAACACTTTATCATTAGGTATGTATGAAACTCAAAAATTTCAACTTTACAGTCGTAGTTACGATCCTCGTACCAAAGAAAATACTCACTTTACAGAACATCAGAAAACATCCAATAGAAAATCTGTAAAGAAAACAAAAGAAAGGTTTAGTTAAGTAAAAGCATAAAACACTAACGGAAAGGTGCACAGGGAAAGGAAATCGATAATTTCGTGAAAGCAGTTAGTTAGAGTTACATATCAATGAATTCGTAACGGTCACGCGTGTATGTACGCAATTGTACTTACGAGGTTCATGTCCCGGCGTGGAACTAATTCTCAAACAAGCCTATGTTACGTCAGCAACCTACTATTACTACACACATAAGTTTTCAAGCGTAATTAAAACACAAAACTGCAAATTTTAGCACTTTCCTTGTGAAAGTGATAGGAAATAGAAAATTCTTTAATTAAGTTTCTAATAGGTAAATAAATGCAGAACTTAATCGAATCAGTGTAGTGTAAATTATGTATGTATACAATTTCCTTGTAATACGATAAAAATAGGCGATGAAAAATAAATCAATATGAATATAACTTAAATATAAGTGCTAATAAATACATGTAACGCTAGAAAAAATCTAACGTTACGCTATTTACCCTATTTACTAAAATGTAGAACTTTGTCTATGTAGTGACCTCACCACTCGATCATCAATATCATGTCTGTAACAGTCGAAAACACACTGAAGTTCTTAGTCCTAATCAACACGATTTTAATCATCCTATCACCCTTTAAACTGTACATCATACATCCAAATCCTATAAATGCCCACTCCTGAGCAAAACCTCTACTCATACGGAGAAGGTTTGGGCATTAATGACCACGCTTGCTCAATGCGGGTTGGCGATTTCAAACTTATAGGTTATTAGAATTTATAAGCCCAGGTTTCCTCACTATGGTTTCCTTCACCGTTTATTAGTGGTGTCTGAATAATCCTAGAAGTAGGTGTAATCTTACAAATAACTCTGAAAAAGTCATATTGGTACTAGCCGTTGGTAGGTTTCGAATCCGCTCCCTCATGCAAGAGAAGCGGGCGTCTTAAACCTCCGCCACCACAACGTGTTTACTCAACAAAGATTAAAGAGGTTGATTCAGCGTTCGCCAAAGCAAATTGTCATCGTAAACCGTGTCTTGTGATTTCATGCCCTAACAGCATGATCTAGTCTACTTAACTAGAGAATGTCGGACTGTTGAACTAAATTCCAAAGTAAATTGACCAAGGGACTAAAATATTACTATTCCAAAGATAAAGATACGGTTGATATTCTGATTCTGACTCAATCTGACTGAATCATCAGATTAAATGTTAATGTAAAATAGTATTTATTTCATAAGTAACTCTATCTGTTTAATACCATAGTATAGTTCTATTCGTGATATTGTTATATCTATGTTTATTATGTTTACTTCTTAACATAATGACACAATTATTACTATGTTTAGTTAGAAATTAATTATTTATTTATTATGTAAGTACCACATACTTAAACACAATGCAAATTGTTACAAGAATACAAGAAAATATAATATAAATATAATTAAACAATAAATACCTTAAGACATGTCATAATAATAATAATAGGTGTAAAGCTAACATTGACTTACGTCAAACTTCATCTAAATCAGCTAAGTAGTTTTTGAGTTCAACACCAAACAACAATCTTAATCGTACAAGTTGACATTATCAATTAGTTATTTTTTCTGCAATCAATACCAAAATCAGATGAATGTCAGTTAAAGGTTGCAAATATGCTAATTTATTCTTGAAAGAACATAATGATAAATGTGAATGACTCGAAATAGCTGTCATTAAATGAATAATTAAAACATACACACACAAGCAACAAACTAGCATTGTGAACTATTACTAAAAGATTATTTTGCAATAGTAACACTCATACGCAAATAGCATTTAGATTGAGCAAGAAGACATTAGATTTATCAATCAACGTGCCGTACGTATGTCAACCGGTCTGCCTATGAAAATGAGATTAATCTTCTGTCATAGACTCAATGATTGATTGTCATTGAATAATCGCTGAACCAATTTATTGGGAAGTTGTTACAACATTTCTTTATCTTCAATGTGGTTACGACATAACGTTATGAAGAGCTTCTTTTTAATTGCTATGAAATAATTAAATCTGTATTTTTTTTTTTTTTTTAAGGGGGGAAAATCATCGAATGACTACCCCCGCCTGGGTGAGGCGGGAGGGAGTGTCAGACTCTTACTGACTAAAAACCACCCCGTTCCTTCTCCTGCACGTCGAGCCGGAGCCCCGGTTACCCGTTAGGTTCTCCGCGACTCCGAATCGGCATCGGCCCTATTGGGCCCCATCTGTGGTGGTCTGATGGCT